TCAGACGGTGTTATGGTACACTCAGACAGTGTTATGGTACACTCAGACGGTGTTATGGTACACTCAGACGGTGTTATGGTACACTCAGACGGTGTTATTGTACACTCCTCAGACAGTGTTATAAGTTTGCCAAAGGGTACCCAGATAAACACACAATTATGCAGCAAGTATTATACTGTAAATTCAGGCAAACTACACTTGACCATAAATCTTCCATCACCACTTTTCCAGTGCAGGGTCACAACAAACCTTGTATCTCAGGAAGCACAGGATGATATTGAGTAAATTCATATTTAGTCATTCCAATACAGCATGCATTACCCCTGTCCATCTGGTTGTCTTTCCTGCCTCTTAAGTTCATTTGCTGTCCTGTTTTGCCCTTTCTGCCGTTTATTACCCATCTCCATATCAGACTCTCTTCTAGCTGGGTTCACTCATACACCTGGGATTCTGCCAACAGTGTGTTGTTAGGAGGGGCTCCCTCTTGAGTTAATGGAGTGGGAACATTTGTCTTCATAAACACAGAATGACAAGGGTGCAAAGCACGGAGGGGCAATCCTGATCCTGGAGTGGCGGAATCCAGCAGGTTTTCCATCCTACCTGGTCTCTGATGAACCACACCTGATCTCAGACAGATAGTATCTCATCAGGTAGGATGGAAAACCTGCTGGATACTGGCCCTCCAGGATCAGGGCTGCCTACCCCAGCTGTAAAGTAACAGATTGATTCAATTCAATTTTATTTGTATAGCACATTTTCACAACATTACATTGTCTGAAAGCCCTTAACAGCATCCCTGCCCAAAGCCCCCAGTGAGCAAGCTAGAGGTGACACTGGCAAGGAAAAACTCCCCAGAAGGAAGAAACCTTGGGAGGAACCAGACTCAAAGGGGGAGCCCATCCTCCAGGGGGCAGCAGAGGAAGTTCAATGAGCAAGATGGCAAAGTTCCAATTCACAAGTACATCTCATATAGATCAAATAGATCTGAACCAGTGAGGGTGAATATGGACTGTAATGTAATGTTCATGTGAGGCAGTTTGTGCCACTACAAGGCATCTGAGAAGAACAGCAGGACTTAGCGCTGTCTTCTGGGATCAGTGCATCAAAGCCTTTCAAAACTAGTGCAGTGGATGGATTGTTAACATTTGAACGCAGGATTCCACTAATGCACGCCTTAATTGTTGTGGTTTGGGGTTTTAGTGTTCCAGGTGTATCAGGGCTGATGCGAGAATGCAGTGGTGGGGAGAGGATCTCATGTGAGAGTGTTTATGAGTGAACTGTATGAAAGAGGGAGACGGCGGTCCAGAAAGTCTGCAAAGTGCATGGAGATGGCTTTAAAGATGATGTCTTAAGAGAACTGTACAGTGATGGTGGGGGGGGGGGCAGTTTACCAAACAGAATATGGCGTGGTATGCGGTAGGGCCAGCAAACATTCACAGAAACTGGAGTAGGAGCTGGGGGGGATGTGCCCCCCCCAAATATTTAATCTGGCTTCTCTCTTCAATAAATAGACCCCAATAAATACACCTTTGTATTTAATTGCCCCCCGCTCCCCCAATATCAAAACTATCTGACCTAATGAGTAGGTGCAGTGACAATCGACATTAAACTCCGTGCTCTTGTGCTCTTGTGCTCTTGTGCTCTTATCACGATGTAGGGGTGTCAGTAATTGTGACACATCTTTTCAGTGTTTTTTTCCCCAAGAGCGACCAAAGCATAGAAAGCATTCAACAAACAACTAAGTGAATTTTAGCCAGCATTTTTTCTTACATTTATCGAAAATGCCAATAATTCAAAATAATAATATAGTATCATACTCATATTTATGTATAATGTAACCATAAGCTCTTAAAGTAAAGTCTTAGTTACATAATGATCTCATGCTCATTCATTATGAACTGTGACATCTTTTATCTCAAGCAGTTACTATATTTCTTACTATATCTGTTAATTCTGTTAAACCTTTGTGAACAACTGAAGGAACAAGTCATGAAAAACACAAGTATACTAATGTTTGTTCAACATTAACGAATCGTGACGCATCATTTGTCTCAAGTAGCCACTGTATTTGTTCATCATTTGTACTCCTTCAAGAACAATTACCAATAATTCTGTATAATCTTTGTTTATGTGAATGGTAAAAGTAAGCACTGGATATTATGGAATGTTTTTTATTGTACTCTGATAATGAATTATTCATTGGATTTGGGGGAAGTTGTTCCATGAATGATAGATTAAAAAGGCATGGAGATGTTGAGATGCAAGCATCTTATGGATATATATGAGTAATTAACACAGATATATCAGTACTGAGTGTTTCGATAAGAGCAAGATTGCTGTGGGAAATGTAGATGCAAATTAGCCTCACTGCATGTCTTTGGCCTGTGGGAGTAAAACTAAAGAAAACCTTCATTCCATAGTAATAACATAACTCACATCCATAGTAATAACATAACTTCACATCCATAGTAATAACATAACTCACATCCATAGTAATAACATAACTTCACATCCATAGTAATAACATAACTCACATCCATAGTAATAACATACTGTAACTTCACATCCATAGTAATAACATAACTCCACACATGCAGAGAGCTGGAGGACTGAGGCACCAGTGCAACGCCCTGAGCCGCCATGTCACCCTCAAAAATGAGAGTAAGCCATAATTTTGCGCTCTGACAGGTTAACAAATAGCTTACAACTAACAAGGCTTCCACTTTCAGTATAAAGACTGAGGCTAAATTGACTGAGGCCCAGTGTTCTTACCTCAGACGACCTCGAGTTTCCATGGTTCCTTCCCTGACGTTTATATTTCGATTGAGTAAATTGCTGGCTTTGAAGCACCACAATGAAACAGTCACAATACAGGGTGCCATTAGGGAGAGAATGTAATCAGATCTAACAGCTACAGAAATCACTACTGTAACATACATCACAATCTCGAATGATTGTAATGGAGTAACATTTGTGACATTAATGAGTTTATGTAAATCTCACAGGTAAAGGAATTTACAGCAATGGCTTGGAAGCTTGCAAATGTGGTTAGGAGGACATTTAAAGGAAGTTCCATGAAAGTTAGGCCAGTGGTAATGAAAATTTATCAGAGCACATCAAACTGAATAACTTAGGTTTGTTTAGTATGAAAGAAATTTACTGTGAATAAAGAAATAGTTTGAGTTAAAAAAAAACATGTTGGCTATCACAGGCTCTAAAATTTCATGAAAACTTTGGACTGAGATTACACTATGGGGGAATTACACTAGATCACACTGCGGCCAATGCGTGGGTCTTCAGGTTCCTTCCTAACGCATTCCACTTCCACCTTATCTGCACGCCATCTATGGGTGCATCCATGTAATAACGTGCTCGCAGCGGGATCACATGCAACATATTTCGGAATTTACCCGGAAACAACAAATGCTGTTTTCTGATTGGCTGGTACGTGGCTATTAACTCTGTTTTACTTTGGACAGATAACTCCACTCCGTACGCCTGCGGCTCGCCCATTAATTCCGTATAACGGGACACCTCGGTGGGCGTTATGCTTTATTTCCCGACATGAGAAACACGAGGTGTGGCGTGTGAGCTGGTCGAAATGCGTGTGTCTCATAGTCACTGCGTGAGACTTGAGAGCCCTGCTATCATCTGTAAAGTGTAATATCATTGCGACTATTGGTTTTACACAAATGATCTCATTAGATATGAAACCTGCAGGGAGATCTACAATTTTAATGATAATCAATGTCAGTTTTCAAGTTACTTCTAATGGAGCTGTCCTTAATGGAAATAACCACAAATCAATATTAAGCTTTCAGTTATTATAACCGCATCTGACTGCTACTTTAATCAAATCAGTTTAGGAAAAATCCTGTTAAATTGCTCCAGCTGCCCTGTTCCCTTGGGACACGGGATACTTACCAGAATTTATGTCGGAAATAACAGAGCAGCCCCGCAGCTTAAAGCCACTCTACGTCATTCGCACTACGACCACCTGTAATCTCATTCACCGAGGAATGTGCGGCATCGCCGAAGATCCGCACTCCGTACGGGTGACGCTACCTTGCTTGCGTTCGCGGAGTGATCGGTGGTCAATGTCGTCATTAATAAAAGAGGAGATGCAAAGACTGTTATTCCGACCAAAAGGACAACATCTGAAGGAACTGATAGAAATAGTGGAATCAGAAGAGAGGAGACATTTTCTTTGTGTGTCAGGTAAATTACCTTTCATTGTCCCATTGCATGCGTTGAAGAAATGAACAGTGATTGAAAAGGTCCTTTTTTTTTAGAGTTGTCAATAATATATATATATATATATATATATATATATATGCGATATATAAGTGAAAACAACGTGTGTAAGTCTAGAAAGTGAAGAATAACAAACATTATTTACTATTTTAGTAGTTTTACCAACTATATGAAGAATGCGATAAATGAGGAAATAAAATATACTATGAGAACCAAGTAATCATCTGTAATGTCATAAAAATATGGGTATGTGTGTGTGAATGGTTATGTATATATTACATTACCAAATGTTCCCACAATGTGAAAAAACCTGTAATTTTTACGTTGTGGGAATATTGTTCCAGTATGTGTGTGTATATATATATATATACTTATATATATAAATGTGAATGCAATCAAAATACTAAAGTAGCCAAAAGTTTTGTATTTCGTTTGGTCACTTATGGTTGATCAAGGTTAGGGCTGGGTAGGGGTTAAGGTCGTCATGTTGGGATTAAGGTTTTGCCAATAGAAATTAATGGAGAGTCCCCACAAAGACATGAATATAAACCTGTGTGTGTGTGTGTGTGTGTGTGTGTGTGTGTGTGTGCAATATATTCAAATGAATTTCTTCACCATTGCCTACATGTTGTTGATTTCAGTGGCTAAGCGCGATACGGTGAGGATAACTGTGATCAAATGCGTAAGATCAGGTACGGAGGAGAAATATGAGCGGCTGGATGAATGGTTTCTTAAGGACCTTGTTTTACTCGATGGGAAAGATTCCGAAACGGTAAGCTTTGTGGCAGCAGGATAGCTGCAGTAATTGAAAAAAAAAACTTAATTTATAAGTCGATATTTTAGCTAGTTGCTAAATATCTGGTGTTTGGATAAGATGTATAAAAAAATATATTTTATTTTTTTCAACGCAGGACGAACCGCAGTTTTTAATGCACTTCGACGCGGTTCGCTCGTTCACAGCCGTGAGCTGCGCGTCCAAGTACACGCTGGCTCGTGCGCTCGTGAGCCTCAGCTCCAAGCACCACAAGAGGAGCCTGCAGCTTGCCAACTTCGACAGGACGTACGTCCAGCCCACGTCCATGTACTCCAACCGCGGCGACTGCATGGTGCTCATGCAGATTTGCGTCTACGCTTTCAATCTGTTGTGCTTGTCGTTGTGCCCCGTGCCATGATGCATGGAGCCACTGACCTGTGACAGTTTGATATGATATGTCCCCAAGCACTATAGTTACTGCATAAAGCCTTATGTGGATAAAAAGCTTCAATTCACAGTACACAACGAATGTAAACACTTTTGCATCAAACACCTTCAGTTATGCTGTGCACAAGATGTGAAATACTACAATATCCTGGATAAAAACTCTGGTATTTACAAGCTGAAATTGGTCTTTATTTCTAGAACATTCGCTCACTACATTTCAGTTAAAACTGATATTTCTACAGGTCATATAATTGCTAAACATACTAATATGTAAAATTTATTGTAACAAATTAAATTAAATACAATTATGCCAGTCACTGTAATAGGAAAATATTGACTTTTGAGTCGCGGGTTGTGTATGTTTTCTCACAGTGTCCAGCATGGGGCTGAAACACCTTGACTAAGAGTTATTTAATCTACTCGCTCTGAGGTGTGAGGCAGAGAATCACCCTTCCTGCTGTTAACAAAACCCAGCTGAGTATCAGCCTGGTCCTCGAGTTTGTAGGTGGCATTTTGTACGGTACCATAAATACCACGGCGGGTGTCGGAGGGGCTTGGATTTCCTGGCAGATTCTGGGGGCCTGGAATATGGAGTACGTAAAGTTATATATAAAATTGGCTGGGGATGGGGGCAAGAATTTCCAGGGAGGTCCCCGAATACCACATATTGCTGTCATGTTTTGCTTAACAGAAATGTAGAAGGAAAATGATTCAGAAGCACAGCGGCTTTCTCTGAATTAACATGACTATCTTTTGTGTCTCCCAAACAGGGCACTTATGTACTAAGGTACTGTAGTAATGTACAATGGACATATGTAAACTGGCGACCCTCAGAATGTGCGATTCTGTCTGTGTGATACATGCTCTCTATGTGCATCACTCAGGAGAAAAGTGTCTCTGCCAATCAGAGTGTTTCCTGAGTCAAGTAAATACATTATCTATAAGACTGAAAGATTGTTATTCATTGGAATATTATTCAGTTGCGTTTTTTATTGTGACTTAATTCTGCACATGTTGAATTAAATAAAAATCTGGTATTGGGGTCATATAATTTGCATGCTTATCAGTATTTAGGCTGGAATATTTCAGCTAATCTATTTTACTAAATCACATGATAAATCAGGAATGTAAGTGTGATGAAATGTTGAATGTTGAATGTGACGAAATGTAAATTGTTGTCCACAAAAGCACAATGACAGCTGTAATGCTCACAGGGATGTGCTTTTCTGATGTTCCAGAGCGACACGTTGCCATGCTGGGTTATAACTGCATTCATGGGCAGCAAGTTATCATTAAACGACACCAATGAAAGATGTTTTGCATATTTTTTTGAGGTCATGAACACCATGTTCATATTTATTATTAAGAGCCATGTAATTAGCTTTATTTGTATTTAATAAGTGACCCGTCCATCTATTTTCCATAACCACCTAACCAGAGTATCTGTAGGAAACTCAGATAAACACAGGATGTTTTAGACCTAAACAAACCATAAAGAAGCAAGATGTTTTTCTGTGTACTGTGAACTGACCTTTTGGAACTGATTCCACTGTGATCTGTGTAAAACCCAGCATACCCGGGGCTAAATAAAGTTTTAAATTGCAAGTTTGCATTGAGGTGACCATTGTATTTTCCTACAATAAATTTGGTACTTAAAGGGCCATTTTGATAGTGCTTCACATTTAAACACACAGTATTTCTTAGCTGGTGGAAAATCACTGTATACTTCACAGTGATGTGGGGGGAGATGATCCACCCAATAGAATTCTGTCCATTACCATTAAATAAAATAATTGTTTACCTTTGCGCCATAAGAGCAACACAATGCATTTGAAAGCAATGCAGAAGACTCCAGCTGTATAGGGGGAAAGAGACAATGGATGTTTACAGTTATATAACCTGAAATATATGGAATCAGTTGATGATTTTGGTTACAGAGTAATGTGTTAAGGATGTCACGGTGGTGCAGTGCTTAGCACTGTGGCCTCGGACCTCTGTGTCCAGCGTTCAAGTCTCTGTCATGGCTCCGTGTGTGTGGAGGGTCCATGTTCTCCCCCATGTCATCGTGGGGTTTCCTCCAGGTCCTCGGGTTTCCCCCCACAGTCCACATACATGCTGAGGCTGGTTGGGGTGACTGAAATGCCCCTTGGTGTGAGTGTGCCCTGTGATGGGTTGTTTCCTGCCTTGTGCCTGTACCCTCCAGGATAGGCTCTGGACCCCCCACAACCCTGAATAGGGCAAGTGGTTACAGATGGAGGAATGAGGCAAATGACGTGTAAATATTTGACTGTCTGAGTATCGTTAAAGACACTCCACCCAGCGATGCTTCTGTAAATTAAATGTTTTGTAGCCATTTTTTCCTCACAGGAAATTTACAATTATGTAAATGACAAAGTAAACACGTGCATGTAAATATTCAATAGTTTATTCCTCAGTTTTGATTAAAGTGTTGTGTTTGTAATAGACAGATAAATTTTGATAAAGAAACTAAACAACGAACTTGTCCACACCGTCGTTAAGCTGTTGGGCGTGAATAATAAATCTGTCTTCGGCAGAAAGTGGGGCAGCGGATTGAAATTTGCTCGGGCAAATGTCAGCGAGGGAGAGAATTAGGCTTGGAATTTTTAGCAGGGTCGCACACAACTTTTAAATCACTTTATGTTCACTTCATATTGTTCATATTGTTTTGAAACATTTTTAATTTTGTTGAAATATCAGTTGGACCTACATAGCTGTGTCGTTCATGGTTTCATTTAGGACAATAAATCGGATTAGTTTTATACGAATGTCTGGTCGTATCGTGTACAAAAATGACCGGAGACCCGACCTTTCCGCTGCTATGGTTTGGATCGAAAGGCCGATACGGAACGTCACCCCAAATACTTCCCTGGAGTTTAAACTTGTAATGTGTCACAGGCCTGGTAGCCAAAGAGGCTTTTCCTGTGTGTAATGCAGTCAGGATTGCAGTCTTTTGCATGGGGGGGGGGGGGGGGGTGTCAGAATGAGTATAAAGTCCACGTGTATGAGGGTCATCCCACTACTGAGCACTGGGTAGAATGGGACCCCAGTGTAATGTGGGATTTAAAATGACTGACCACTTCAGAAAAATGTGTAATGTGAGGATAGCATCAAAAATGGTAAAACAATTAATCAAATATCAGACAATAGCAAACATCCTATGTAAGTGTATATGCACAATATACAGAGTGTGTCTGACAATGCATTATTTATTGATGTGGATCCTTGGATTTTCGTGCATTAACAGCCATAGTGGTCTTTCCGGATATTACAGCCTGCAGCCGACCCCACGGCCGCCTTGTGGTCTATCTCAGGCTGCGTTACGTTGCTTCTTTTCCTATTGTCACGTTCGCATTTAAGAGCTGAGAAAGACGGAAAACATGCTTCTGTGGCTTTTAGAAGCCTCGTTCGTCTCATAAATATCTATGGGCTGAGTGTTTAGGGTTCTAATCTAACGCTACACTGAATTAAAAAACTGAACATGTTGAAGTATTGAGCTTTATGTGTGATGGTCTGGAGCGTTTAAACATAAAGCCTTTGCTGTTGCCTCAGTCTCATTGCCCTGATGTCAGTTTAACATATTTTCTGGTGACAGTGAGGTCACTGAGTTCTCTACTGCGCTTTTCTGGTTGCTTCATTTGACTGATGTGAAAGTGTAACCTTACCTGCTTGATGTTCTTCTGACGTGATTTGCTCTCATTTGATACAGTGTGACACTCTCTCTGACTTTGTAGAAATCATTTTGTAGTTACTGATATTTAATAGTTTTATGGTTAATTGTTGTATCATTTTTGGGGGAGTGGAGGAAGCAGAGGGGGCTACAGAAAGTGTAGCCTGGGGGCCCCAGAAATGGTTTAATCACACGTTCAACTACTAACCCGTATCATACTATCAGTGCCGTTTATTGCCCCGATTGCATTAGGAAAATTGGACAGTGCTGCAAATTCAGTTTTTACGTTTGCCTGTTCACCCACAGCATAGGGAAACAGATTTCAATGAAAAACAAATAAAGTACAAAGATGTTACACATAGTGCAAATGATAAACAAATAATTAAAAATATTCTTTGTATTCCATGATAACTCGTCCCCTTGTAATTCTTCCATTTATGTACGCTGTCAGGAAAAAGGGTACAGCTCTGGTATAATTTTGTTCCTTAAGGTAGAAACAACGTTAATGTATCCCCAATGGTACATGGTTCCTAAGCGTCCATTTCTATACCTTAAAGGGTATATATACCTACAGCTATGGTACGATTGGCAGACCCTTGAGGGTACAAAGTGATACATTTTTTCTGACAGTGTAGGCAGTATAAAAACTCCATTATGCCATATCAAATTATTTTGACTATATGCTCTTTTCATACATGGATCCATCTATGCCCTTTAGTGTACAGCAAGCCCATTCACTACCCTCGCTGGGTGGTGACCATCCTGGCACAGAATGGCTGCGGGCACGTCATTCAGGTGGGGGCTGCACAGTGCTGGCGGTTCAAGTAGCTGTGAAGCGCTTTGGGTGTCTTGAAAAGTGCTATATAAATGCCACTTTCATTCATAATTAATTTCCAGCATTGTCAGCATTTATATTACAGTTTACCAGCAGCCCTGACCATAATAAGTGATTGGATGATGATAGATAGATAGATAGATAGATAGATAGATAGATAGATAGATAGATAGATAGATGGCTATGCAGCAGAAATAGAAGCAATCAATTATTATCACGCCCAAAGTGTCTGAATGTTACTAACTTGTTAATACCTAATGTTCTGCAAAACATTTAAATGTCTTCTAATCGTTTGAAGACGTCAATATTGATTTAACTTGCCGAGTGCAGTGTGTTTATTGTACTGATGGCTCTTCAGATGGATGGATTTTTTTCATCGGTCTTTTCTTCCTTACACACGATGACGTTCTTCAGTTACATACCACCAGCAGTAGGCAGTATGACATTGGATCACCAGCCCTGCACTTACAGATCCTGAAGGTGGTGAGCTTCAGCTGATCCTGACTGACAGATTATCTTGTTTGTGTTAGATAAGGACAGTTTTACAGTTTTAGGATAACTAGTTTGAGGTACTGTTTCATGTACCAATATGCAGTTTTAGTCATGGAAGTCTTTGTTATTTTTTTAAAGGAATATCAGCTCTATTTTATGATGTGTTAAGTGAATAGAATCTGCTGCCTGATACCTCTTTCCCACCCATGTGCAAAACCTGAAACCCATCCATCCATCCATCCGTCCATCCATACTGTACATGTGTGCATGCATCGATCCATCCATCCATGCATCCATCCATGCGTGCATGCATACATTCATCCATCCATATTGCATACCCGCTTGTCCTATGCATGGTCATAGGAATCTTTCCTGGATGCTACGGGTGTAAGGCAGAGAATAACCCAGGATGGGGCGCCAACTGGCCACAACGAAAACCTCAAACCAGCAAGTTTTTTGCATATAACAATCCATCACTCATGAATATATACAGTATAAGGAGGTTCAGACATTTTTGGAAACGTTGTTACACCCTTGGTTTGATTCCAGGCTTTTATTCCATGTTACTTGTATTGTATCTTTGTCGGCATGATATATCTGGAGCGTTATAAACCAGGTCCAGAGCCTCTCATGCGGTAGCTGTTCTGTCATTGACTCATACTTCAGTAATGGATGTTTGTGTGGTTTTTACTCTGAGCAACGGTGATGCAGCGCTGGTCTGTACGGCTCCCGATGATACAAGCTCAGCAATTTTGATTAATATGAATAACAAAGCAAGATGTAGCTAATGTTTGCTGGCATCTGTGGATAAGCAGTTAGATCATGGATGGTTGGGTAACTCTTTCCTAATAAGCAACCAAGGATTCTATGATCTACAACACATATTAATTCAGTTCCATCAAAGGCACGATTAGGATTCTTACCCCTAACCCTTTTATACTGCCTTTCCATAGAAAGGTGTCTTATGTAGGGCCATTTCACATTAAGCAATGACTTACACTGGCTGAGCAGATATAAAGGACACTATGGGAAAGACAGGTGTCGAGAAATTTCTGCCACTGATGCATCATCTGAACGAGCTCATGAAATAAAATTTAGATGGAGCGAGAGTCTGTAGTCTTGTGGAGAAAGTTGTGGACTAAGGAGAAGCATTTTGAAAATGTTTTGATGGGAACTTTTTTAATTGACATAAAAAATTGGATTTTTCCGATAGCCTGTCCTGAGATCTGAGAATCAGAGAGTTGGTTTGGTTTGGAAGAAGCCACTGTGAAATGTCATGGGATATGTCATGTTTCGTCGTACATACAGACAACATGATTGTGAAATCCATCAATCAATCAGTCTACAGTGTGTAGTTAATGTAATACTGATCTGCAATTATTATCTTATTTCTCAAGAGATGCCAGACAATAACAATTAATAAACAGAATTTCAGTATGTCAGTACCATATCACATGTATACATATATACAGTGCAGCATATACTCATACAGCAAAACCTCAAAACAGGAGACCACTAGATGCACAAAGCTTCTTAGCTAGAAGCATATTGATGAGTACTTCAAAATGGCGTGGAGTTTATATGACGCTATTTTGTATCCATCCATTTTTAATAACCACTTACCTATTTAGCATTGAAGTGGCTGTCTGAAATAATGTGATAATGCAGGATTTTATTTTACACACTCATAAGAATGTAGAATTAGGACTATTTGCGTCATACTATATCTGTCGAATGAAACACCTTTGTCTGTCTCTTTGATATCATATATGAAATGTTGAAAGTATGCAGGAAAAACCCAACTGAGACAGAAAAGACTTTTTTTCTTGGAGCAGGACTGACATGGATTATGTTTTTCAAAGCTCGACTTGCTTAGTGTTAATTCCAGTCACTAATTCTGGGCAGAAAGGTTCTTGTTTTTGCAGTTCTTGTCTTCATTGACTTCTTGACTTACAGATGATGCAAGAGAATAAAAAAAAGGTAGCAAATATAGCAAATATAGGCTTCAGCGCAGATAAACCTTCTGGGCTTTGGTCCAGTGTTGCTTCTGCACAGGCTTGCATGCGGATCTTCACAGCTGCTCCAGTGGACGGCATTCCCAGACCAATGACAAATCATGACAAATCATATTTGTAAACAATAAACCAACCATTTTTTTCTACTCCAGGTTACGTCCAATTATGTCTTTATATCCCAAGTCGAAACATAATCCAGAAACAGGACTTTTAAAAAAAATAACGGTGGTTAATTTTTGTGCTGATGTTTCTGTAGAGGAAGTTGGAGCCACTTTCTCCATTTTGTCAGTGAAACGACAGGAAGTGACATCACAGGAGCACAGCTATGGAGCCTATGTCATCGCTTCGTCCACGTTCGCCCCTTCCACATCACAGTGACAGGGCTCTTCGGCTGCCTGTCGGTCCGGTGTGCTGTTGGCAGTCCTGAGGTTCTCCTCTGATGCACGGACCTGGGAGGCCAGCATCCAGGCCCGTGCGGCCGTGTCCTGGCACGAGGACGGCTGGTGTTTGCGGTGCAGGATCAGCTTGGGGTTTTTCACGAGAGTGTAGAGCAGCAGCCAGCGCCTCCGGGCCCTGCTGCTCGACGCTGGGACACGGAGGAAGGCGGCCATTAAGTGTAGGCAGCAGATCAGTATTGTTAGTCATTTATGAAAGGCTTCCCCCTAGTGTCTTAATACAGCAGTAAGTCTAATGGTGTGATGCATTTTAACTGGCTCTACACAAATGCTCCAGATATAGAAGCCTTTATTTGCATAATGAAAAGCAACATCTAGCAATTTCTGAGCTCAATTTTTATATTCCAGAGCTTAAACTTGCAATCAATACCAATTATACCTGTCAAAACCCATACAGGGTAAAATACTGAAGTATAAAATGTGTCAAATTCTCTATAAGTTCAGATTTAAGTAAGTAACTAAAATCCATAGAAATATAAATGATTAAGCTGCCTTAGGAATCCTTCACAGGGTCTATTTTCATGATACGCCAGTAAAACCAGTACTGACCAATCAGAGAGCTGTTGAATGGAGGGTATGGTGACAGCGCTCTCGTCTGCTTTTCCAGCCTCTCAGCCAATACGAGATGGCAAAAGCAGATCATGACTGGGTTGCTATGGTAATGGTCAGCAAATATCATCCCAATCCATGTATTATACCCTAAAAGAAACCAATGCACAGTTAATCCTGTCTCCTATTACTGTGCTTTTTTTTCTTCTTTCAAATACTCCAAAAAAATTTCAAATATCCTTTAGAATATGTGTCATTAACGTACATCTACATCCAGTGCTGAATAGATTTCACATTATGTCATCATTTCTCTGTACAATCATATAATTGAGTATCTCAGGAGACTCTGAAGCATTCTAAAATGCGCAACTACAGTATGCATACTTCACGGAAGCATGCAGTTTGCACCCGCTCCCTCGTGGGGGGGTCCAGTATGCAGTGTGTCCCTCCCCCATCTCACCTGGGTCTAAGGGCTCGTAGCCCCTTGGCATGACGGTGCGGTCGATGCGGGACACCAGCCAGGTGCCCACTATGGCGCTCATCAGCAAACGCGCCACGCAGTTACTCAGGCCCATAATCACGTTGTAGAAGAAGAAGAAGTAGTTAAAATTGTGGAAGCCCTTTCTGACAAGGAAATGAAATATACGGCAAGGTTAAGCACTGGACTGTTCTCCACGTGTTCCGTGCGACAAAAACGGTTTGCGTCTGTTCCGTACTACAATAAGTAATAGTACAATAAGTATGCACGTCTATAAACATTTCGATCGCATTTTTAAGGGCACGATAGGTCAGAGTTTACATAGCATTAGTACATTCTGCAAAGCTAACCGACTGACGATGAGAAATGAGTTAATAAAACACAGCATTAAATGTTTGACTAAAGGACATCAGCCAAACTATTACCAACACCAATGCAAACACCAATAATGAAGTCATTAGTAAAAGCAGGTAAAATATCGTCCAGGAACAATGTGTGCTGCACTTGTGGAAACACACGCCAACATACATTTTCAAGGACTGTGATAGAATTGCATTGAAACACTCTCCTTTTCTGTGTCAGTGTTCCTCCGCCCGGGACCCAGGGATCCCCAAAGGTCCACGTTTTTACTCCCTCCCTGGGAATGTTCCTCAAACCAGCCCTCAGGGACTCCCAAACGGTGCCGAGGGAGCAAAAACGTGGACTGGGGGGTCCCTGAGAACGAGGAGGAGAAACGCTTATGCTCTCACAAAGAGCCGGGGAACCTCCTACTGGTGAGACTGGGGAGTGTTAGCTAGTGGAGGGTTTCATGATGAGATACAGTACCAGTCAAAAGTTTGGACACACCTACCTATAGAAATGTCTCTTTGTACTATTCTCTACATTTTAGAATATTTAGCCAGCCATCAAAACATATGTGATAATGTATATTATAAAGTAACATTATTAATTATGCACTGACCAAAAAAGTATTAAACAAAAAAAATAATTTGTTGGAGGGCAGCCGTGTGGGTTATGACTCAGAAGGTTGCTGGTTCAGATCCCTGGGTCGGCAGAGGGATCCCACCTTTGGGCCCTTGAGCGAGGCCCTTAACCCCAATTATCTCAGGGATTGGCTGACTCTGTCCCCTCTACACCAGTTCCATGAGGTGGCCTCCTGGGATGCTTTTCCAGCTGTCCTGAAGGAGGTCCCACATATATGCTGAGCCCTCACTGGCCGCTTTTCCGTCACTCCCACATATATGCTGAGCCCTCATTGGCCGCTTTTCCATCACTCTCTGGTCAAACTCCTTCTAAACTCCTCCAAAACTATGTTTGCATTAGCTGGCCAGGTCATGTGATACGACAACATTATTCTCCTTGGTAGCCAGCTTGACGTGTCCAAACTTTTGACTGGTACCGTATATGCGATTAAAAATAAATCTTGTAGTAAAACTGTAGCTCATGATGTATTAATTGCACAATAAAAGACTCATTGGATATTCTAGTGGTTGAAAGCATACCTGTTGTTTATTGCTAAGGGCTTCTGGCTATCCGTGGAGGAAATCTTGTCTTGAAGGAAGAAGATCTGCACCAGTATAATCTGAATTATCACCAGTCCTATAATCAATACTATGGCTCCTCTGAAACAGTCAGGGAAAAAAAGGCGGCAAGATTACCGATAAGTTTATTATCGCATCACGCGCCTTTAGCTACATCCCGAACATACGTGATCGTTTCCCATCACTCACAGGACGATGCCGAAGTTTATCAGCACTTTCAGGCCGTGACCGTGTTGAATGGGCAGAACCACTCCGTACACGAAGAGCAGCGCAAACAGGAACTGCACGAAGTGGACGATGATGTAGCCTGAACAACAGAAATACGCAAACATCAAAGACTGAACGCTGTGTGTTCAAGAGGGGCCTCCCGTCTTTCATGTGCTGCAAATGCTTATAACCACAGATCTTCTCGAAACTATTAACAATAATGGATTAATGCATGCTTCCTGGGTTACTGTTCCCGGTGTAAAATGCTTTTCTGGTCGTCGTTGTGTCAGCAGTTCCTGCTCTTTGATAAAGACAAATGTAAGGGAAAGTTTCAATAGGAATCGTTGTCCAAGCAGAGTTGGAGTTGACGCTGAATGACCTTTTTGTTAATTATTAACAATAATATGTCAACAAGGGAGGAGGAGATTTCAAACCACACTGTACTTACCCCATAAAGTAAAGGCGATCTGCCAGCCAGAATACCGAGTAATGGCTGCCTAAGATACATATTTGATTGTTTTATTACAGATGTAACCTGCAGGTACTCTGTTTCACAGCTGATACAGCTTGGGTGTAATTATTTGCTATTGATTTTCTTTTTCTCCAAAGAATCATGATTCATTTTAATCAACACTAGTGCTTTTTTTCGCATCATCAAAGAATCTCTGCTCACAACGCTGATTGCAGAGCTGGGATTGTGGAACCTCTCAGGAAGGAAGCCTTTCTGTCCTGCCCAAAGCCTCTTCAGGTGCTTCCTGTAATGAAGCAGAAAGACAGGCAGCGGTAAATTCCACCAGCCAGGCCTGGTAGACGGATCCCCTCCGAAGCCAAACTGGTCAGCAGGGGGAGGATAGTGGAAAAGCCTTAAAATTATGGTCTTGAAATTTGAAAGTTCACCAACCTGTAGCAGGACAATATGTGAAATGTGTATGTCACCGAGGTGAAGGCGGCGAAGAAGGTCGTAGCAAACCAGGTCTCTAGATGAGGAAAATTTGAATAATATAGACGATTGTTCACTAGTCTAAAGAAGAAAAGCATAAATTTATGGTTAAGTTAAAAAAAGATAGCCTTATTTATTACTGTATTTACTACTATACTACTATACTAGTAATATAATATAATAGTAATACTACTGTTACTGTATATGTACTATGCTACTGCTGTTCTGTTCTTTCAGGTTGGGCTGCAATTAATTGAGAATAATGGGCTGTGTTACTTCTGGCAACATGACTGAACTCCACCAGCTGAGGGCTGAGAGCGGCAAACTGGTTCTCTAACTGGCTGCAGGAGCTGACCAGTTCCGCCAGGGAGTCCCTCAGCTTGTCCAGCTCGTCAAACACGTAGCTGCTGAGGCTGTGGTCGGCCAGCGTGATCTAAAGAGAGGTTCGTCACAAGGAAAATCACACTTTGCATCAGTGACACATCACAGTATGCGGTGATATTGCCAAACACCTTAACACTTTTGGTGAGAGACATGCTAGTCATTTGTGGAGAAACACTGTTTATATAGGTAGGTACTCACCATGTACAGGCCAATCAGAGAGATGATAGAGGTGCCAATCATTCTGTTGGGGAACCTGAAATAAGGGTCCCAGTCATAAATGTTCCTCTGAATCCAGTTCTTTATTTCCCTATAAAAAAATAAAATAAAAAATAAGCACATCTGAATTAAATGCTCTGAACTGTGATGGCAGGTGTCTCAGGATCTCAGTCACAGAGATTCAGCCATCGCATTAATGATCGCATAATTTGCTGCGGCAGGTATGGAAATCCATGGGGGGAGCAGGGCTGCTCTGAGTTTGAGCTGTACCCTTGTGGAGGTCTCCGCAGCAAAGTCTGCACGTATTTGGCCTGATACGTCTGAAACAGCTGCTCCGTTTCCTGGAGAGAGTCAGATTGGAGCTCATGACAGCCTGATCTGCTTCATCAGTACCCCCCATTTAGTTCAGAACAACTACTCATCAGTGTCTAAGCGAATGGGAGGGATAGGGATGGTGCTGCCTCCCTCCCCCAAAATCAGATTGGCTGCTCAGTGTCCCTCAATTTCCATTGGGCCTCAGTGATGTCAATCACAGGGCACAAAACATGGTGTTCACAAACCCATGCATGTGTGGCACTATAATTGTAGTTGGTCCCAGAAGTGTATGAATATTCATGAATCGTAAGCATACTTTAAAGGGACTCCACACACCAATCGTATCACTGTGCAGAAGATACGAGCACAAGCATCTTCTTTGCAGTGAAACAACTGGTGTGTGTAGTTTGCTAGTAGAAAATAGTTCCTACATTAGACTGCTAACTACTAAGTCTGTGGATTATGCTGCGTCATGATTTCTGGTAAGAGACATTGCTGATGAATTTTTCAAATGTATTCTGCTGGTATTTTGATCACCACAAAAGGACGCCATTCTATCCAAATCTCAGCATCTTACAGCAGAACGACCTAGATGGATAGATACCACTGAAGCCCCTCTAAAGCATATTGTCTTTTCAGTTTCGAGGTGAACTGCCCCTTTAAGAAAAGGTGGTGTTTTTAAATTTAGTTTACAGCATCCACTGCTAAGATGAGCCGCACTATCGCCTTATGGATAGCGAAAACCATTTCAGCACGACGCACAGTCACCTCGTGGGCGTCCAGCCCCATGCGGATGCGAATGGCTTTGAGCAGCATGTGTACGAAACGGCCCAGCAGGAAAGTTAGGCAGAAGATGCTTGGCCACTGCAGGATGGGTTTCTGGAAGCTGCCCAGCACCTAGAGTCCAAGAGACGAAGGGCAAAAACATCTATATATGAAGCTGCTACACATGAAAAATTATATATAAAATCGCAAGCAATTATACATACAGCTCTGGAAAAAATTAAGAAACCGCTCCATATTTTTTTTAAATCTGCATTTTTAAATCGTAGTTTAATTGTGGTTCTGCTGGCAGAAGCTACGCTGAGCAGCAGGTTGCTTCCAGGCTCAAGATACATTATACAGGAACAATGGGAACACTGGGACTGACCAAAAAACAGCCAGGTAAAGGGCAGATGTAACTTTCTAATCTCAGAGATGACCGTGAACTTAGCCAGCAGTGCCTCATGAATCTTAGGATGATATCAAGTGACCTTCAAAAGGAACGGGAAACATTAAGTGCAGGTGTGAAGTGCACTGCTAGGACAGTTCATATCAGGCTCCTAGAACCACGACTGAAGTCCCATAAAGCAAGGAAGAAGCCCTTCATTAATGAGAAACAGTGAAGAATCAGATTGCAGTTTGCAGAAAAATGTATATTTTGCACAGAAGCAAGCCAATAAATTGAGGAATGAGTGAAACAAAAAAATTTGCTGTGGTCTCTTAATTCCAGAGCTGTATATACAAATTACGGTACACAATGGCATACAGCAATGGGTCAAAGTCCAGAATACCCACTTTACCAGCTGGACAGCTGATTGTGTTCCATGTCGACACGATAAGCCTGCAAAGGAGGTTATATTGCAGTTTCAATGGCCACAAAGTCATAGACCTGAATAAACCACAAAAAGTAGCAATCAGTGAGAAGATCATCTGTTAAACCACAGGATCAGGAGACAGGAATATGGCAATTTTGAACTCTAACATCTCAAGATCTGTGATGTCACCTTTCAAAGCTACTTATTGCAAAATGTTTATACTGCAGATTAATTAATTATAAAGTCAAATGTTGCAAAAGTAGGTTTTAGTAAAGATTATACAATAGACACAGGAATGGTTTATATGCACAGATATCTGCAGACCAGACCACATCAGGCTGTAGATGAAGCCCAGCACGGCTCCAGCCTCTCGAACTGGGGAAGACAAGCAGGCGAAGAAAGGGTAGTAGGCAAGGCCGACCTCCAGCGCTCCGACGAGGTGCACGACAGCTGCACGGCAGAACAAATGCCTTATGCTTTCAGCACCGTGGTTTAATATTCCACTGGAAATGACTGAGTAAACATACAGTCAAACACACTAACAACATGATATTTATTGGTGCTTTATAGTGTCTCGTACTGTTTGACTTTCCTTGAAGATTGTACAGCACTTTGGTCAACAATAGTTGTTTTAAATGTGCTTTAAAAATAAGTAAAATGAAATGGACAAGACTTAGAGGGCCAATGGAGATGGTGTGGAATGAATGATGCATTTTCAGTGTTACAATAAACCCGACACAAAAGGGTAAATTTCCAAAACGTTTTCAAAGAACTTAGTGAGTTTGGCGAATTTAACGAAAGTTCTTCATTGTTGTACATGAGGACTGACTGAGTTTTGGCTCCCAATCCTGTATCACATGACGAGAAAGTCTCAATTTAGTCTCATCTCAAAAACGAGAAAAAAAAAGAGACTGAGGGAGTTTTGGAAATTTGCCCTTCAGTTACGACCCTGGAGATTTACTAGCTCTGGATTTAACAGATAACATGAGTAGAATAATTAGTGACAAAGGATTTCACAGTGTGTCACAGCTTGAAAGTATGAGAGACGTGCTGATTATTCATCCAGTTACTGCGAAGCAGGCTACCTCTGGCCCATGTGGGGACGTTAAATGGTAAGTACTCTCTGGAGAAGAGCAGCATGACGCTGGAGGACACGGCACCGAAGGCGAAGCCGTATGACCATCGGTTACTGAGGCTGCCGATGAAGTCCAAGGGGCTGCCAGAGAAAAACACATAGTATACTGCCCCCTACAGTTTGTCTCAACGTTTCAGTGTAACTTTCTAACATTGTCAGGTGTTACTTTAAATACTGCATTTTCTATAGTGTTGAAATATACATAACTGGTACGCAAGTACGCATTTGGTAAGCAACTCACACAACGATGCCGAAACGGCCCTTCAGGATGGAGATCTTCTCATCGATAGCTAAGTGATTGACTCTTCTCTGTAGATACGACAGCACGGCAAAAATGAAGAACTGGAACGAATCAGATGTATGGATTACTGCTCACATCACAGCACACATCAATCAGCCTGCAAATAACGGACAACAAAAGGTTCCAGAATTTTCCTAGTTGAATGCCACCTTCCACACGATCCATTCTCAAATGTCCTGTTATTTTGACATTGTGGTCCTCCACATGGTTTTCTCCACAGAAATGAATGGAGAGTCCCCACAAAGATATAATTACAAACCTGCCCTCTGTTTCCAACAACTGCACCAGGTCAGTGTGAATAGAAAAGGGATGGATGAAAATTGTTTAAATAAAACCACATTTGCTATGTATCCGTGTTTAATAAACAGCTGTAAATTAAGGGGGATCTTTTGTAAAGTGACAACCCGTCTGTACTTCTGTCCCTCTAACTGATCAAAGTTGCAGGGTTACTCAGTGACTTTATTTACAAACGACTAGACAACGACTGGACACTTACAGCTGGAACAAGAGAGCAATGCAGGAATAGGTGCATGGAAATGCCATTGTCACACGTTTTGTTCCCCAAGGTTCTTCACATAAAAAGAGGATGAAAAAACGGCTTGAGAACATTTCACTTCTATACTTTACTAGCACAAAGATCTATAGATCTAGCACAATGATTTGTTCATTAAGACTAGTAACCAAGATTATATGACTGAGCAAAACGTTAAATGATTCCTTAATGTTATCTCCTGGTCTCTTTCCTTATCTGCTCTTCCCGTAACGTGAATTGAAGCAGGTTCCCTTTTCTGAAACCAGATATATTTCTCTAACATTCATGCTGTTTGTAGATATATTTGTTCTCAATATTCAAAACAGGTGTCTGAAAAACATGGAGTCCTGGTTAAAGAATCTGACATCTGTACTATTCTTAAACATAGTTCTTCATAACATGATTTCAAATGTTCTACTTACCCGTTGTCTCCCAGCCTGATCATCTTAGTAAAATGCAGGGACATGCTGACGCAGCTTCAGTTAAGCGATATTTTGAAATTTTTGTATGATTTTGAAATGCTTTACAATTGAGCTGTAAATCCCTGAGCATGTGAAAAACCATTAGGCCACATTCACAGTCATTTACTGATGGTCGTAGCGGAGGACTATGACCTGAAGCAGCTAAGGGGTTGTCTTCCTTTATTAATCATTGACAGGAATTCCCTTCCCACTGCACCAAACTGCCATACTATTGTTCTTTGTGACGAAAAAAAAAAATCCCTGATATGGGTTTATTCGAGATAACTTGATTTTTCTTATCTGGTTCACCTACTCTGTGAATGTGAGCTTAAAAGAAAATGTTTTGGCGAGAGAAGTGTAACCTAACTGAGGACAGATTCCCACCCCCCCTGGCCCAGTACCTGCATACCAAGCAGGCCCAGCTCCACAGGGGGGCCAGGGTAGGTCTGGTCCTCTCAATCATAACCTTAGCCCACCCAATCATAATCTTAACCCATGCAATCGTAACCTTAATCCACCCAATCATAACCTTAGCCCACCCAATCATAATCTTAGCCCATGCAATCAGAACCTTAATCCACCCAATCATAGCCTTAACCCATGCAATCATAAACTTAATCCACCCAATCATAACCTTAGCCCACCCAATCATAATCTTAGCCCATGCAATCATAACCTTAATCCACCCAATCATAGCCTTAACCCATGCAATCATAAACTTAACCCACGTAATCATAACCTTAGCCCACCCAATCATAACCTTAATCTACCCAATCATAACCTTAATCCACCCAATCATAACCTTAGCCCACTCAATCAAAACCTTAGCCCACTCAATCATAAACTTAACCCACGCAATCATGACCTTAATCCACCCAATCATAACCTTAACCCATGCCATCATAACCTTAATCCACCCAATCATAACCTTAACCCTTGCAATCATAACCTTAATCTACCCAATCATAACCTGCATGTCAAAGATGGAGCCGGGCCTGATACCATGGGCTCTTGGGCCACAGTATGCATTTCTCTATGTTAACCAACACACAATGGGCTTGATAAATTTCTGTAGTATTTTTCTTTGTTATTCAGCCTCTTTTCTCTTACAAATATTGTTTATAAATGTGCGAGTGTGTGTGTGTGTGTGCGTGTGCGAGGGGGTATACCTTACCTTATGGGGACACAATGTCCCCACAACGTGATGAATACCCGTTTTTTTTCCCTTATGGGGACCAGTTTCGTTAGCATTTTTCCCATAGAAATAAATGAGCATAAAGATATGTTTACCCGACACGTGCGTGTGCGTGTGGGAATTAGGGTTATATTACATTGCTGGTGTCACGATGCGCGGCACACGGACCAGGGACACAGGCGACGGAGATCAGGATACGGTTAAAATAAAAGGATTTAATAGGAAGACGAAGGGGCATAGCGGGGCATAACAGGGCAACAAGGCACGAGACGACACAACAATGCAATGACCGGACTGGGGAAACAAACGGAAACGCGGACTAAATACAATGAACTAATGACAACAATCAAGAACAGCTGGTAAACAGGGAAGCCACACAGGGTTAACGAGGGGGCGTGGCACACAGGAGGAGCGGACGATCAGGTCATGACAGCGGGGACCAAAGTTTCTGCTTCTTCCAGTATCTCCCATGTTACATAGATGTATCCACCATCCCAGCTGAAGCACCGTGCACATGTTCCAACATGCAGATGATGAATGTAGGTGATGAATACAAAGCAAAAAGTACGACATTGCATTTTGGGCACTATAGGCCAGTGTTTCTTCACCCGATCCTCGTGGCCCTCAGACAGTCCACGTCTTTGCTCTCTCCCAGCTCCCTGCCAGACAGTCCACATTTTTGCACGTAACTGGGAGGGAGCAAAAACATGGACTGTCTGGAAGTCCCCGAGAACTGGATTGAGAAACACTG